AGAGTAAATGCTTGTTTGGCAGTGTTAATCTTACCTGTTCCCATAGGAATGTTAAGATGGTGAAACACTTTGGTTAGAAAATAACCATAGCCCATGCCATGCTTCCCTTTGCGGTTGATAACTGTTTTGTACAAGTGCTCCATCATTAGTGCTGGAAGATCAATGGTCTCAAACCTGCTCAGTGCTTCCATGAGGTATAGATCAATTGAAGTTGCAACAGTCCTTTTTTCCATCCGAGGAAGAAGGACTTTATTGACAAATTCGAATAGCATCCTTTCATGAGTTTCTTCTGAATCCCAGCACGACAAGTGTTGGGAATTTTGGAGCATTCCTTCACAAATTCAGCGGTGCAGGTTTTTCTGACCAAGGACCTAATCCCTCCTCTAGGTACTTCAAGGATTTGGCCCAATAGGTCCTCATCCAAATATAGATTCTTGTTTCCCACCCTGGAGGTGATGCTTCCATCCTCCGTAAAATCTATGTTGTAATAGAATTCTCTAACCTCTTCCTTATGCAGAACAAGAGATTTGGTTTGAAACAGGTGGAGCCAAGACTGAATTTCCACCAGATCATGCAATGAGTCCATTCCTGGCTTGTGGATGATATCCATGTCAAACACCCTTCCACCCAGAACACTCTGTTGACGCAGATTGTTGATGATGGTCTGCTTGTCTACTTCATGAGCATCTTGGGTCCTTGTGGGACCTGGTCCCAGTGAAGATGTTTGTTGATCATCAGGAGAGATTTCTCTCTGTTTCTAGGATATCTCTCTTTTCCTTTTTGAATCTTTACCCTTCTCCTTTTCGGAGTCAATCTTCTTGGTCACAAATATTTTTGATTTTCTTTTACCCTTTCCTTTACTAACCCGCTTCATTTGTTTTTCCCTTTTTCCTTCAGAAACTTCTCTCACACTTTCATGCTCAGACCCATCAATGGACACATCCACCACATCAGTGGCAGGTATTTCAAAGATTTCAGCATTAGATTTCATCTTCTTCCGATTTTCAGCAGTAGTCAGTGTACTAGATCTCATAGCATCTCCCATCATTTTCTTTGAGTCAGACCTCGTAAAAGGCCTTCTTTTGGATCTCTCATCAGTGACCTTTTCTTTTCCTTTTGTGGATATGGGAACCATTTTCCTTTGAACCATCCATCTGAGAGGTCAATTATCCTTATCGATGTCAGTAGAATTAGATGAAGGATAGCCACCAATTTCAGGGGTTTGGTCAAACACCGGTTGAGACCCCCCAAGCAAGTCTTCCACAAAAAATGCTTCTTCTTTATTCATTACCTCTCCCCTCATCTGTGTTAGACTTTTGACAATTAGATTTTCATTGACAGCGAGGATATTAGATTTAGATGACTTATTATCGGGCAGATCTCTCTTAAACAAATGGTCAGATAACATGGCAGAGCAGGGACCAGGTTGAGACGAGGGTGCTGGGTTGTTGAGATCGAAGGGAAACTTAGGATTAAGAGGACTGGTTTCACTAATGTTGACTGGAGAGATGATCGACATTTTAGACGGAAACATAGCATCAGAGGATGTGTAGAGTGCCACTGGGTCTATTTCATTTAGAGAGTCTAGCATTTTCTTTGAGGAAGATAGAGATTGAGACATTTTGTTTGAGAGGATGAGAGGATGAGAGGAAGAGTATCAAAGAGAGGGTGAGATAGAGAGAGAAAGATGAGGGTTTTGGGGGAGAAGACTTAGAGAGTAAGAAATTTGAAAAGTGAGGAGAAGGAGTGAAGAAAAGTCATAAAAATAATTGAAACGATGTGTGAGGTCCTTGAGTAGATGCATCGCTTGTACTTGAAGCAATGGGACAACGGTCAGAAGGGTCGATGACTGACATGTGGAGATCTCAATGGTTCTCAGTTAATAGTTTAAACAAAAATACAAAGAGTGCTAACCTTGAGAGGGACCAGGTCCTCAATTGCAGGTGAGATTTGATTCTTAAATGGTTCTGACCATTCCTAGCTCCTATGATTTCCATGCGTGTACATCTCACTTAAACAACACATTACAGGTAATGAGGATACATGCCCTCCAGATCATAGCCAAAACGAGAATTGGATGCCTTTAGATGAATTAGGTTAGTGCAATTTCATCATTCCCAGCTTCAGCCTGTTACTCTCCAATTGCTCTTTGCTGAGTGCCTTGGTGAAGATATCCGTAATTTGATCCTCAGTTCTGCAATTGTGCATGCTGATGTTCCCTTTTTCAACATTGTCTCTCAAGAAATGGTGCCTGACATCAATGTGCTTTGTCCTTTTGTGCTGGACTAGATTCTTTCCCATGCTGACTTTACTAGTATTGTCACACATGAGAGGGATGGTCTGGATAAGAACTCCAAAATCTTCCAGTTGCTGCTTGATCCATAGGAGTTGAGCATAACAAGATGCAACCGCCACATATTCAGCCTCCGCAGTAGAGAGAGCAACTGGATTTTGTTTCTTTGTTCCCCAAGAGATGAGTGAGGATCCAAGGAAATGTGCCATCCCAGACGTGCTCTTCCTGTCAACTTGATATCCTACAAAGTCAGCATCTGCATACCCTACTAGTTCAAAGGAGTCACCTGTCGGATAGAACAGGACCAGGTCCCTTGTCTTCTTTAGATACCTCAAAATCCGCTTGGCGGCCTTCAGATGTGATTCCCTGGGACATGTTTGGAATCGTGCACACATTCCTACACTGAAGACAATGTCAGGTCTACTAGTTATTAGATACAATAGAGAACCAATAATCCCTTCGTACAGTTTCATTCACTAGTGGATCAACCTCATTTGTTCCCATTTTAGAGTTTATACCTATGGGGATATCAATAGGCTTCGAGTCCACCATGTGAAACTTCTTCAACAACTCCTTTGTGTACTTCTCTTGACAGATTGAAGTCCCACTTGAGGTTTGCTTGATCTATAGGCCTAGGAAAAAATTAGCTCCCCATCATACTGATCTCGAATTCATTCCCCATTAGAGTCGCAAATTCTTCACACAGACATTCAGAGGTGGCTCTGAAAATGATGTCATCCACATATACTTGAATGATGACCAATTCATGTTCCCTTTCCATTAAAAACAAAGTGTTGTCTATCTTGCCCCTCTTGAAACCATTCTTCAGCAGGAATTTGGACAACTTTTCATACCAGGCTCTGGGTGCTTGTTTCAGTCCGTACAGGGCCTTGTTGAGTTTGAACACATGATTTGGAAAGTCAGTATCCTCAAATCCAGGTGGCTGTTTCACATATAATACTTCCTTCAGATCTCCATTCAAGAAGGCACTTTTGACATCCATCTGGAAGAGCTTGAAACCCATGAAGGCTGCAAATGCTATGAGGATTTTGATAGCCTCCATTCGAGAAACATGGGAAAATGTCTCGTCATAGTCTATGCCCTCCTCCTGATTATAGCCTTGAACAACCAGTCTAGACTTGTTCTTAGTGATAAATCCATTTTCATGAAGCTTATTTCTGAACACCCACCTGGTCCCTATGATGGTTCTGTCAGCATGTCTTGGGACCAGGTACCACACATTGCTCCGCTCAAACTGATGAAGTTCATCTTGCATTGAATTGACCCAGTCAGCATCCTTCAAGGCTTCTTTCATATTTGTAGGCTCAATGGCAGAAATGAAGGCTGAAAACGCAACCAGATTTCTTGTCTTTGACCTAGTGTGCATTCCAGAATTCAGTGGGGAAATGAGATTATTGAGGGGGTGAGATGAAATGTGCTTCCACCCTGGTTTAGAGGCCAAGGGTTGGGGTTGAACCGCCTGTTCTTCTTCATCTTCAGAATCGTCATTCTCAAGAGGATAAGTTTCTTCTTAATTTGCATCATGGGATAGACCAGGTCCCATAGTAGGCAGGTCAGCCTTCTTCATCTTCTCAGCTAGACTAGGATCACCACCATCAGACTTTAGATTCCCTTCAGCTTCAAGCCTGTTAGCTTCAATATTCTGGACTTTGTAAAGCTCAATAAGATCATCATCGTCCTTCATCTCCATGTTTTTCAGATCACCACTTTCATCGAAAATCACATGAACACTTTCCTCAATGCATAGTGTTCTTTTGTTGAAGACTATAAGATTTGCTTGAAGATGAGTATCCTACAAAGACACCTTCATCACTTCTGGGATCAAACTTTCCCAGATCATCCTTGACGTTGTTTAGCACAAAGCACTTGCACCTAAAGGCATTTAGGTAACTAAGCTTGGATTTCCTGTTGTTGAGCCGTTCATACGGAGTTTTGTTCAGGAGAGACCTTATCAAGCATCTATTAGTCACATAACACGCAGTGTTGACAGTTTCAGCCGAAAAGTTTTGAGGAAGATTAGATTCGATAAGCATTGTTCTGGCAATATCTACAAGAATTCTGTTCTTCCTTTCCACCACACTATTTTGTTGAGGTATTCTGGGAGTTGAGAAGTTATGATTAATACCACTTTCTGCACAAAAGGTATCAAGCTTCGTATTTTCAAACTCGATTCCATGGTCGGACCTGATCCCTGTAATCAAGCAGTTGAGCTTAGTTTAGATCATTTTGAAAAATATCATCAGCACATCAGCTGTCTCAGATTTTGACTTGAGAAACATAGTCCACGTGAATCTTGAGTAGTCATCCATAATCACCAGGATATACTTCTTTTCGTTTCGACTTTGGATTTTCACAGGCCCACACAGATCCATGTGTAGCAACTCAAGAACCCTTGAAGAGCTTACTTGATTCTTTGGTTTGAATGAGGATCTAGTCTGTTTCCCTTTAGCACATGCGTTACACACTTTGACGTCACTGAACTTCAATTTTGGCAAACCACGTACTAAGTCCCTAGATACAAACTTGTTTAATAGAGACGAGCTCACATGACCTAGCCTCCTATGCCATATGATGACATTTTCACTATGAGCACTGAGGCATGTCAGATCGTCTCTATGAGTTGTTTCCAGATCTGCCACATACATGTTTTTCCGTCTTCTGGCCATCAGGATCACCTTCTTGTTAGTCAAGCTGGTGACAATGCATTTGTCTGAAGAAAACTTGACTTCGTTTCCCTTGTCACTAATTTGGAGACGCTGAGAAGACTGTATTTTAACCCACTCACATAGTAAACATTTTCAATAGAGTCTTCAAGAGATTTTCCATCCCTGCCAACTCCAAGGATGTACCCCTTCTTTCCATCGCCAAATGAGACACCTCCACCTTGAAGTGCCTTGAGTGAAAGGAAGTTTTTGGTGCTCCCAGTCATGTGCTTCGAGTATCCACTGTCCATGAACCAACACTGATTGCTACTTCCTTCACCCCCTGCAACACAGTTCACTTATTAAATTTCGGAACCCACTTCATTTTGAGTTCCCAGTAAGCTGATAAGGGCGTAATAAGAATATTTCTTGCCCAGTGAGGCAGGTTTGCCTTTTTCTTGTTCAAGAATTTAAGAATAGGACCAGGTCCCCTTCTTGGAGTTGTCTTCTGTCTAGAATAGACTAAAAACTTTTCTTGAGAGGCCTTCGAGGCAGGACAGCCCCTTTTCAAATGTCCATTTCGACCACAATGAAGACATAATAAATTATCCAACACAGAGACATATTTACTGTAGGGATTGTAATGAGGGGTGATATTAAGGCTACCTAATCCCTTTCTGTTGTAGTTGCTTTGACTGGTGATTTTGGAAAGTAGGTTGGTGGAACTAGTCCATTTTAGAGAAGTTTGAAGTTCTTCTTTAAGACGGACCAGGTCCCTTTCCATCTGATCATTTCTTTCCAAGGCTAGAGTATGTCTAGTTTTAGCCGTATTCAGACTGGCTTCTAGCTCTGCTTGCAAGCTAGTAGCCTCCCCCTTTCCTTTTCCAGATTTCTCAATCATTAGACTCAATTGTTCCTTGAGTTCTAGGTTTTCAGTTTCTAAAACCATTACTTGTTCCATAATAACTGACATGTGCACAGTTAACACTATTCTTACTTCACTCAGACTATCAAGCCTGTTGTTCATAAAGTCTTTTTCAGTGGTTAACTCTATGACAAAGTCAATCAAAACACCAGCTAGGTTTCTCAGCTTTCTGATAGAATAAGTATTCAAGTTTTATTTAAGATCAAAGAGAGTTACCTTTTCTTCATCGTCTTCGTCATCTGATTTCGCCATGAGAGCAAACATGCCATCAAATATGTTGGTATCATCTTGAACAACCAGCATAGATGCATCATCAGGACATTCTGATTCTTCTGACTCACTTGAAAAATCTTCCCAGACAACAAGAGCCTTCTTCACAACGTAGTCAGTTGTAGCTTTTCTTGCATTTTCCTTAGGTACCAGGTCCCTTATCTTGTCTTTTTCACCTCCAGGTCTTTGATACTCTTTGTTTTCAGCTTTGAGTATCGGGCAATCTCTTATGAAGTGCCCCGCCTTTCCGCACTTGTGATAGAGATCATTAGTAGTTGCAACACGAGGGAGATTCCCTCTTCTCTTGAATCCTCCATGTTTTCTCACAATTTTCTGAAATCTCTTAGTGAGATAAGCCATGTCATCCTCTTCACTAGAGTCATCTCCAGAATTGATTTTGAGAACTAGGGACTTGTCTTTCTTAGCTTCCTTCTTTGAGGTGTCCTGATTTCTGTTCATTTCATGAGTTTTGAGATTTCCAATGAGAGCATCCATTGTCAGAACCTTCAAGTCCTTTGCTTCAGTTATGGCATCTACTTTACTTGCCCATGACTTGGAAAGAATTCGAAGAATCTTCCTGACCTGCTTACTAGAGCTAATGGGTTCTCCCAAGCTTCGTAGCTCATTAGTTATGGATGAAAACCTTGTATTCATGTCATGAATGCTTTCACCCTCTTTCATTGTGAAGTTCTCGTATTGGGTGGTCAGCATATCCACCTTTGACTCCTTCACCTGCTCTGTCCCTTTGTGAGCTGTTCTTAGACTATCCCAAATTTCCTTTGCCTATTCACACGCAGAGGTGCGGTTGTACTCTTCAGCACCTATACCACACACTAACAACTTCTTAGCTCTGTAGCTTTTCTCGATCTTCTTTCTGTCCACCTCGTTGTACTGTTGGCGAGTCTTTGGAATAACTTTTGTGATTTCACCATCTTTCACTTCCACGATTGGTATTATAGGTCCATCCAGCACTATGTCCCATAACTCGCTATCCTCATCCATAAGATAGTCGTGCAACCTTGTTTTCCACCAACTGTAAAACTGACCATTGAAATGGGGAGGTCGTGTTGAAGATTGTCCTTCTTCGAGGTTCAGTGGAGCAACCATTCTTTTACAGAAATATATCTCTTAGTGTTAACCAGCTAGAGAATACATGCTCTGATACCAATTGATAGAATGGGTACATCTGCTGTCTGTCAATGGACCAGGTCCCTTGACTAAACCAGAATGACAACGAAGAGTAAATAACAATAATAACACAACACAAGCAGTTTACGTGGAAACCTCCTTGCTCAAGGGAGTAAAACCACGATCTGTCACACAGGATTTCCAACTGTTTTCACTAGTCTTCCTTAAGCAAAAGTGAACAACAATTACAACCAACGTGAGAAAAAGTTATTAATTTCACAACTAAGTAATAACTCTATTACTTGGAGAGCCTAAGTTGATGTCACTATGCGCACTAAGCTATCACCACTAGACAACTTAGAATTTGACTAAGTAACATGTAGGTTGCCCACTAAACCACCACTCTCCGGATGACTTAGACTATGACTAAGCAGCACACACGGCTGCCCACTAAATCAGTTAGACTCAACTGATTTAGGCTTTTTCACAAAATAACTATCTGAATCCTTTATAGATGTCGGAACAGATTTACAATGTACATGCAGAAGATATAATCCTCAGACAACTAAGCTTGCAACTCTATCAGGTTCAAGTTGGTCTTGAGAATGAATCTTCACTTTAGTGTTAGCCTTTGCAAGAGTTCTTGAGAGTTTTATTTTCAAGTTGCAAAAACTGAGGTTGTGACTATTGGACATATTCTTATGAAGAATAGTCACAACCTTTGAGACCCTGCCATTGGTTGAGGTTTCTGCTACTTCTGCCACAGTTGGAGACTGTGCACCAACCAGTTGTACTTTTTCCAGCCTGACAGTTATGTGTACATTTGCGCAAGGGACCAGGTCCCTTTACAAGGTCCTTAGGTTTGTCAAATCATCAAAAGTATAAATAACAAAAGTCTAAACAAATTTAACATGAGTCAGGAATGATTAACGGATAACCAAAGATATACCATGTCCAATCATCCAATTATATTTTTTTATATGAATTTAAGTTATAGACATCGAAAAAGATGTGAGCATAAATATTTCTATTTTGGTATATATAATTTCCTTATACATAAGTGATGGTTGACGTTGAAGCAGCTAGGTTCTTATCAACGGATCTGCTTCAATAAGTATATATATATTTTTTAAAAATATTCTAATTTAATTTAGTTTGTGTATAATTTTTTTTGAAAGTATTAGCCCATAAAAATAATAATTATGAGTCCCACTTTAATTATGTTTTTAGTTTTAAAGTCATAGCCTTTTGCTATAACTTATTATTTGAACATCGGTAATATTTGAATAAATTAATAATTAATAGAGTAAAAAATATTATAAATCATAATAATTAACAATTTAAAATATTTAAAATTATATTATATTTTTTTATTAATTCTTTAAATTCTATCTATATCACATAAATAAAAATAAAAATATAACAAATATTGATCTCCTGCTTAGCACAGAGGGTCTAGTTTTTTAAATATATATGAGAGTACAGCGCATACTATTTCTCATATATCTCTTCTTCTTTTTTTAAGAAAAAAGATCTTAATTTCTCATAATATCTGTATTTTCTAATGGATGGACGCCGTCTTTACTGACGTTCTAGAATGCCTCATTTGGGTTGTTAAATAAACAATAATAATTAATAGGTGTAACATGGACAGCAAATTCCTTCACTTATTCCTTCGAATATTGTTTTTATGTGCCAAGTGCACAAATATTACTTTTTTAATGTCACCGTCTTAACCTATATTCATCATTTTAAAAATATTTGATTAATATTTGCATAATGATCCCTCTGTTCCATTTTTTAAAATAAAAAATAAAAAATTATGGACTAAAAGGACCATATCATTAGATTTCTAATAACGTAACATTTAACAATAAAATGGATTTTTTTAAAAAAAAAAAAATTAAAAACGAAAAAATAATAATAATCTTAAGTATATATGGAAGTGATTTTTATAAGTAATGAATTGATATTTTACAAATATTATATAATTATATAAAATTATATATTAGGTATGTATATTCATTCATATATACTGTTTATATAAAATTTATACATTACATGAGTTTAACTTACTTAATAAGATAATTGTTTTCAATCTCGACTAAATAAAACCTCCTCTAAACCGTCTCAAATTATTAACAAAATACATGTACATTTTTATACTTCACAAATTATCATTAAATAAAATTCTAAATTTTTCATGCTTAAATGTAGAGGTGTTCACAGGTTGGTTTGGATCAGTTATTGGTTAAAACCAAAACCAAACCAAACTTAATCGGTTTTTAAATTATCAAAACCAAACCAAATCAAATATAATATATATTTATCGGTTTGGTGGTTATCGGTTTCGGTTTGGTTTGGTTCAGTTATTCGGTTATTAACCATACACAAAAATAAAAGAAACAATTCATTCAAAATGTGAATAAAGTGACAACAATCCATTCAAAACGAAAAATAGTTAGAATGACTAAAATTATTACTGAACTTTCGATCACTAAATTTACTATCAATAAAGCTTTAAAATTCACTATATTAGCCTAGAAGGAAGAGACAATAACATTTTCAGTCCCACAAGAATTGTCATAGACACTCATATACATGAAATCAATAAGATAAATGTTTCATCTTAGGCATTTTTGTTTTCAATAACTAAATTATAAAGAAATTTTAATGAAAATATGTATAAGATCTATAAAATTATTTATAAAAACAATGTATTAAGTATGTATATTAATAATATATATATATATATATATATATATATATATATATATATATATATATAAAATTCATCGGTTTGGTTCGGTTATTTCTTTGTTTTTTTTTTAATAAAACCATAACCAAACCAAATACTATCGGTTTCAAAAATCTAAAACCAAACCAAACCAAACCCAAATAAAATCGGTTTTATTTTATCGGTTTTTCAGTTTGGATCGGTTTTTATCCGAACCGTGAACACCCCTACTTAAATGTATTTAACTGTAAATGAAAATTGAGTTAGAAAAATAGATTATAAGTTAATTTTCAAATTGAGAATACAACTTCAAATCGTATTTTATAAGTATTCTCTCAACAGGATTTTTCAAACTGCTTTTACTAATCTTCTCCAAGCAAAAGTAAAAGCTAGTTTACAAAATGAGATTAGCCTGCTAATCTCCACACTAAGCAATACCTCTTATCACTTAGCTGAGCCAGAGCAGATACAACACTGCCCACTATACTAACCCTCACTAATTAATATAGACTTTTCTAAGCGGATACCACACCGCCCACTAAACCACCTAACTCTAGATGATTTAGAATTTGACTAAGCAACTCACAGGTTGCCCACTAAACCACCACCCCCTTGACGATTTAGACTTTTAGAAACCGAAACAAGATCTGAATCCTTTATAGATTAGGAACAGATTTACAATGTAAGCACGAAAGTATAACTCCTAAGACACACTATGACGCTTGCAACTCGATCAGGTCCTTGTTGCGTTTGTCGGAGAATACTTCACCAAGATGGTCTTTGCTTGTATACATGAGAATTTTCAACATGCAAAGACTGACAAAACTCAAACTCAACAAAGACGCTTCAACACTCTATCAGGTCCCTTTGTTGAGCATGGGTATTGTTCTTTCTTGAAGATGACCTTCTTGTCAAGATTCTGAATTTTCAGAGAAAATCCATGTTTTGTTTGCCAAATCTTGAGTTTTTGTATTTTGGTAAGAGGCTATATAAAATCAACACAAACTCGTTTAGACAACCCTATTGGCTGAAAGCCTGCTATTCAGAAAAGTTGCTCACCTACCACATCAGAGGTGGCAGCTTTTCTGACAGCTGTCTTGTCACCTTTTCATATCGCAGTCTTTTAGGGACCAGGTCCCTTGCAAACTTCTTTGTGGGTTCTTGAAAAGGCTTGCTGGCTAACTTCCTTCTTAGGATGAATGAATTTAATATGGTGTTTGTCATGTAGAAAATATCAACCATAAAGAGTTATTACCCATTGGACAAACACCTCGTCCATTCTGATTGGTGTAGTACGCTGACGCCTCACCAACCTCTGACACGACATCTTTACAGCTGTACCCCATTATAGATCTGGACGGGAGAACTCTGCCTGGGACCACGTCCCTGCGTTTGTGAGACACTGAAGCATATAATCTCGTCCGCTCTTCCTATTGGTGTAGGACACTATACTTTTTACCTACCACTGGACATGACAACTTTACATCTGTACTCCATTTGTATCTGGATGAGAGCAGTCTGCCAGGGACCAGGTCCCTGCATTTGTGAGGATCATCAAAACACCTAGAATATAACATTTTCCCCCTTTTTGGTGAGTACACACAAATATTCATCACACTAAGTTTATTCATTCATTTCCCTATCAGCAGTCCCAATAACAAGGATCTGGTTCCTTGTTAGATCGATAAGTTTGTTAAATCATCAAAACTTCATATCAACTTTGAACTAACATCTCATATCAGCTTCGAACTAACATTTTCTCCCTTTTTGATGATAACATACTTATTCACCAGTTCCCCCTATCAATAAGAACTCTCCGGGTAACTGGAGTTTCATCATCCCCGAAGTTTGTTAAATCATCAAAACATCAACATAGCATTTCCCCCCCTTTTGATGATGACAAACAACTTCTTCCCCCTATCGGCAGGACCAGGTCCTCTTCAAGTAGCTAGCATTGATTCCTCCTATCGGCATGACCATGTCCTCTTCAAGTAGCTAGCATTGATTCCCCCTATCGGCATGACCCACGTCTTCTTCAAATAGCTAACATCCTTGATCTCACACCTTAACAATTTTCCCCCTTTTGACATCATAAAAAGGGGTTAAAGCAGTAAATCAAGTTGACAGAAATGCAGGTCAAGCAAATTCAAGGCCACTTGGGCAACACTGAGCATGAGTAAAAAATGCATAAAGTAATGAGACAAGCCAGTAGAAGCAAGACATTTTTCATTCATAAATAAAA